ATCCCCGAAGGACTATGTTCAGACTTCTAGGAATATTAATAAATCACACTTAAAGTTCCATTAAAGGAGCTTTAATAAATAGATTCATATCAATCTTCAGGTTGGTCTCAAAAGTGGAAGGTGCTTTGCCCTACACATTATGTACTTAAAATATTTGTTTCCAGCTTTCCAAATTGCACCAATCAAGTATGTTCTAGGAATGGGCCTGTGGCCAGATGGGTTCAGAATGTCCTAATGAAAAACAGCAAAGAGCCAGGCATAGGGATGGGCCTCAGAACCCCCAGCACCCTCAAGTGGATTTATTTGCAGAAAGAACGTTTGTTGTCTTAGTGACCAGTGTAGACAGGGCTAGATCTACATTACAATCCAGTTCTGATCTTTGATCAGAAGGGATTTTTTTGTGGGAGGGTTGAGGGGAGTGGTACTGGGGATTAAACTCAGGAATTGGGCAAATCAGACCCCATTGTAGATATTGTAGATATTACTGTGACTCAGGGGTACTCAACCACTGAGCCACATCCCCAGCCCTATTTTGTATTTTATTTAGAGACAGGGTCTCATTGAGTTGCCTAGTGCCTCGCTTTTGTTGAGGATGGCTTTGAACTATAGATTCTCCTGCCTCAGCTCCCAAGCTGCTGGGATTACAGGCTTGTGCCACCTTGCTGGCTCAGAAAGGAATTTTTAAAATGCCCCCCCATAAGGACTATGGTAGTCAATCTCTTGTGGAGCTTCATCCAAAGGTTTTCTGAGTCTGATGGATTTACAAAGACATTTGATTGCATGGGTAATACTGCTAATGGTAGCATTCTTTGGAATTATACACGCCGAACAAATTACTGGTTATAAAAAAAAAATGGTTTTGAGGAAAGCCTTGACTGTCGGCCTCACAAGTTCCTGCAGTCTGAATGCCCATGAACACAGAACCATGGATTCTTCCAATGGCTGAGACCTCTGTGCTTGTCTTGGATGGAAATGTTTTGTTGGGTCTCTGCCAACTCCCTTTGAGGGCTCCCTCTGAAACAGGTATTATATTTCACAGGATTGGTTTTGAGGATCACAAATGTTAATTTGCAGGACACCCAGCTTTCTGATTGACACATAACAGACATCCAACACATGAGCTGGGTGTATTACTTGTCCATCAGGAGAAATAAACTCTTAATAAGGGAGTCTCCACCTGTATTAGGGAGGCAGGTGCCATGCTGGGCCATGAGGTGAATTGGGACTGAGGTCACAGTCCATTCCTCAGAGGCACCTGTGGAGGGAGCCATGCCTTTGGCTGTAAGCTACATTGCCTCAACTTCTACTTCCTTCTTGGGCCCCCGTGATTCTGTGACCTTGGACATACCACCTACATTCTCTGTTCTTTATTATGCTCATTAATAGAGAAACCATCTAGTTTTCTTCTAATCTGGGATACCTGAGAGTAAAGGGGGCACTGTGACACTTACTCTGGGATGACAGGTATAAACCAGGCAGATACTGGCAGAAATTGGGCAAATCAGACCCAGTGGCCCCTGGACTCATCCATTCTATGGTGACCAGTGCTATAGATATTGATGCTGCTTCATGTCTGAATCAAACCTGCTCCTTCAGTTTTCCCTTGGCATTTGCATAGAGCATATGAGCTATCATCTAATACTGCATGGAAAAACGCATTTCTCTTTGAGTGCTATTATCCTCAACTGTGACTACAGTGGCTCTTCCTGCTTTGTTTTTCACTTATGGTTCCTGTGGGGATTAACAGCATACACTATAGACCTAGGGAACAGGGAACTCAGCATTGCCTTCCCGCCTATGTATATACCTCAACCAGCATTCCCAAAGATGGGCACAGGCCTTGGATCTCAATAGAGGTATGGAGACCCCTGGAGGTCTGCACAGTTACCATGGGAGAAAGCTGTGACTCATTCTGCAAGCCAAGCTAGGAGACCCAGGGTTCTCAACAAACAACCATGAGTTACTTAATAGCTGGTGTTTATAAATGTCTGGAGTGTCCATTTAACCTTCTATCTTTTTATACAAAAGTTCCAAAGAGGTCCACAATCTGCCAAGTTTATCTAGGCAAAGAGCAGAGAAGCTGGTGTTTACCCTCCAAATGTGTTGGACTTCAACTACCTCCTCCTTCTTCTTGGCTACCATTTCTCAATGTATGCATATGAGCTATGCAAGACAATTTTAGGTTATACACAAGATTTTTTGGTAAATAATTGTTTTATATTCACTTTAACTTGAATAGAAGAAGACCACAACTGACACACAAGACCTGCAACATTGTAGATATTACTGTTTAGGATCTAAAGTATCTATTTAGGAAATGGTCAACTTTGTGAAAATAGTAGAGTAATAAGTGGACACAGGCCTCCTGAATAGTGCTGTTTGGTGTTCAAGGCCTCAATTTGGCTTTTAGTACCATGGCTGTGTGGCTCCAGCTACAGTGTAGTAGGCAGGTGCTTCTGGATCTGTGGTTTGAGTAGCTCTGTGTTCTGCTGCATGTAAGCTGTGCCACTTAGTCCAGCATGATTTTTCCTAAACTCAGAAAACTCTTCATGAAGTGACTGTGTGGCTCAGTCTGAAGTAGACTAAAAGCAAAATGAATCCCAGAACAATAACTATTATAGTACTATAATTCTACTCAAATTGATCGTGGCTACTGATCTGAATTCTGCCAACTCTATTGTTTATTGAGCCCAGAAAGTTTTCCAATCAATAACCGCATTACTCTGTGAATTGTAAAATGCAAATATTTCCATTATGCAATTTTTTAAAAGTATGCTCTTAATTACCACTTTCCCCATTTGGTCTGAGTTTTGTCTTTCAAGTCTCCTAAAACTTATGCACTTTTATAAATAGTAACCAATAGTTAGAATTTGTGTATATTTTCTCTAAGGTGCACAAAATCAAAACTAAGAGCCTATACATCTGTGCTTTTCAAACCAGGGTCTCTATATGGGACATGTGGCCAATCAAGATAACCACCTTGTGTCTTTCTACAGGATCTAATATTACATTATCTAGAAGGGGGGAGAGATTTTTGTATTACAATTACTTATAGAATTAGAATGCACAAGTCACATTAGCATTTGTAATAAAAATACAAGATTAGGCCATTTCAATGTCATGATTGAAGAAGTTTGATAAATTTCTATTAGTAAAAAGCATTGTGAAAAATAGAAAGCAGTACTCAAATGCAAATGTAGGTCATGATCATTATCAAGTTTCAGCCCTTTTCAGGGAAGTCAATTAGTCTCAGTCCTCAGCCATTTCCTCAAGTCCATCAGGTAGTTGAAATTGTGTAGATTGAGAAAGGTGTGTTAATAATGACATATGAATTCTCCCAAAGAAAGAGGATTCTTAGAAGTCATCTGGAAAAGTCATTCTAGAACCCAAAGCCTCAGCTCAAAAGGCAGAATTCTGAGCTAATGACAGCCTTGTCAAAGAAGAAATTGTCAAATGGTTCTCTACTATCCCCTCAAATCATATCACAAGGAATCCTGCTGTGGACAGCTGGGCGGGATTACTATAATCAGTCTCCTGTGACATTTCTTTTGCTCTGATTTTCTGCTGTTTCTGTATTAGTTTGATAAAATATTTCAAGTGTCCTGCTTCCTGCTGTCTTAGTCTTACTTACTTTAAAGGTACTTTATTGCTTCAGTGAATTGTGCCAATATTCATATAGCTTTTATTTTATAAACAAAACTAATATCTACTTATTTTATTAGCAATATATTAACAGTTTAGAGCAAAGAAATTACAATCCCATTTCCATTTCATACAATTAACCTAAGATGTCTTAAATATGCCTGCATACCTCACATTGCCTATTAGTAGAAAATGATTTCTAAATTAGATTAATTCTCAAGTTTTCATGGAAATGAATTATTATTGTATTTCAGCTCAAACTAATTACTTGTATCTCTGACCTCATTTCCTGTGGAAGAGATTTCCTAATACAGCTACATCACTTTGAGTCACACCTTGGATCTGTTTAGTATACATTTGAAACATAATTTCTGCAGTGCAATAACAGTAGCAACACTCATGTGTTATTAGAATAACTACTATTATATAAAATCCATATAGTAACTCATTAACTCCTCATCAGCCCTCTTTGAGACATGAAATATTCCTATCTTACACATGGGTAGATTAGATAACTTGGTCGTGATCACACAGCAGCCCATGTTCTTTCTATAGTGCCTCTCTCAAGTCTTACTTAATGCTAGTCCACCGAACACATGCTGCTCCACAATTTATATACATATGCTTATATTCTCAGCATGTCACAGAAAAAAACATGCTATATGAAAGCAATGATCTACTTAAAGTCTTACATTAATAGCTCATTAAAAAGTAAAGCTACTAATCCATCTATAAAGAATCAAAATGACATATAATAAAACTTAACGCTTATCTCTTCTAATCACAATGGTTTGGAAACTGAATTTTATTTTCTTAGAACAGCATTGACATTCTTTCCACAACCATAAAGGAACTCTATTGTCAAATAAAATAAAAGTAAAGCACAAACCCTTTCCCCCAGAGTCATTTTAACTTTAGATTTTCCTTCACTATACTCAGAGATGGCCAATTTGAATCTCTGATTGCCTAAATACTGCTAGTACAGAAATGTGATATTTTAAGGATTTAGCCTACTGTCCTTCAATTCTCAGTAGTCACACTGAGATACCTCAGCCTGATCCCCCATCCCTGCCCCGTACTGGGAAGGAACCCAGGGATTTGTGCATGACAGACATCTGCTCTACTGCTGAGCCACATGATCGCTCAGCTTTTGAGATAGGGTCTTTGCTAAGTTGCTGAGGCTGACATTGAACTTAAAATCCTCCTGCCACAGCCTCTGGATTGCAGGAGTATGCCACCATCCCCTGTGTCTAGCACAATCTTTGCAGAGTTCTTTTAATATATTCAGCAGCAAAAATAGAAACTTAGCCCTAACGTATTTCAATTTAGAAGTGAAAATTCAAAGAAAGTCGAAAAAATTCAATTTAAGTAAGATTTATTGTGTGCCTATAGTGTGCATGGACCTTTATTAGACACATTGAAATTCAGGCACAAGATAGACACAAGATCCCTGACCTTAGGTACCTTATGATCTAATTAGTATAATACAGATTAGAAACAGTAGACAGACAAGTTACATGTCAACACTTAATTGTTAAAATCAACATTAAAGGGCTGTAATTTAAGTAATCAAAAATGGCATCTAATCCTAAAATTATTTATAAAAGGTATTTGGCGTCAGAATCCACAGCACTTCAAACAAGGTAAGTTCCACTGCAGATCAATACACAAAGATTCAAACACACTGAAACACTTGACAGCACTATGAATGACTTTTGTTATTTTGGATCTTCTGTTTCCTTCTTATTATGGTCCGAAGCCTCCGTAATACCAATTTATCAGACAGAAGCATGTCATCTTGTTGTTCTAGATAATCCAGTAAATTTTCGGTCCATTCAAGCGCAGCTTTATGACTAATAAGTTTTTCTGGGTTCAGTTCTGCTTTTTTAGTTTTACTGGAAGGCTTTTGCTCCACAGGCTTGGCCTGGTCCTCGGCACCTTCACTGTCAGTTAGCACCTGACAGCTTGAGTCATTACTCCGAGAGTCAAACCACTGATTAATATTCTCAATGTCAACATGTTCACAGTCTTCTGTGTTCTGTAAAACTGTTGCCAAGTTAGCTGCTAAAATGGCTCCTTCATCAATATTCATGACTGAATTTTCTTCATTACCAGGGAAAAGTTTTTTCCATGCTTTGGTTATGGTACTTGATTTTATCATGTTCCAAGCTCTTGACACTTCATAAATTGCATCCAACACTGTCAAATTCTTCCAAAACATTTTTGGGTCAATACCTTCATCCATGTATTTCTGGAGAAGTCCTGCTCGATAGTATCTTTTTACTGTGGCTAAAACTCCCTGGCTCATTGGTTGAATTAGACTTGTTACATTTGGTGGCAAATATTTCACAATTATTCTGCCATCATCTGAACTCAACAGCTCTTCATTTGGATGTGCTGGGGGGAAATCTAAAAGAAGCACTGCTTTTTCGAGAAGCCCCTTAGATTTCAAATGCTTCTGTACTTGTGGCACAAAATATTTCTCAAACCACTGTCTGAAAACAGACTGTTCTATCCATGCACCTTTTTGACTGAAGTAAGTGACCGGAAGGTTTGAAAGATCAGTTCCTTTGAATGCACGGGGTTTTTTTGCTTTCCCCACAACACAAAGGTTAAGTTTGTGTAAACCCGTGGCATTTGCACAACACATAATAATGATTCTCTCTCTGCTTGACCTATACTCAGAAGTACTTTGCTCAGAGTCAAGAGCTAATGTCCTTGATGGAAGGCATTTCCAGAACAATCCAGTTTGATCAGCACCATAAATTTGCTCTGGCTGTAGATTCTCTCTCTCAACAAATTCCTGAAAATTACCACAAAATTCACTGGCAGCAGTTTCATCTCCTTTTAATTTTGTTCCTTTCCCAGCAGCCTTTGGAATACCATGGCGCTGCTTAAATCGAGTTAGCCAGCCAGATGATGCATTAAAATCACCTTCCATCCCCAAAGCATCAAAAAAGAACTTGGCTTGTTTTGCACAAATAGTTCCAGACACTGGAATTCCATCTGTTTTCTGTTGGTTAAACCACTCTATCATAACCCTATCAAGTTCCTCATATGTTGATGACTTCATAGATTTACGTTTGGATACCCCACTTATAGGATCTGAACTGTTAGCATAGTTTATAATCCTTTCTTTGTTCTTTTTAATATCACGAACTGTGGATTCACCAATTCCATATACCACAGAAAGTTTTTTGAAAGAGATACCTTCTTCAAGTTTCTTAATGATGTCAAGCTTGTCCTTAATTGTCAACACCACACGCTTACGTTTCCCTAACATTTTAAGTGTCTAATATTTCAGGTGATTACTGGAACAAGATAATTAACAACTTAAATTTGAATACAGAGATTACAATATGGAGCATTAGATCCCTCCTCTGCCCTGAAGATCTAGAGTAACCACCAATTTTCTGACAAGCTCTACAGCAATCTCTTCACTTTCATTTTAAAACAAAGTTCTTACAACAGGGAACGCTCCAATTAACCCTACCTTCCTCTTAGTTTGAAGTCTTTTCATGAACTGCAATCTTACTGGAGGTTAGAAGTTGAACCAAAGCTACACTACAAGGTCTCTAAAACAGTCCTCTTAAACACTTAACAGTTGCCATCATTACAGAGAAGGTTTTTCCCTAAAGCACTAAGACTGAGGTTGCGGTATTTTGGGATATGTGCAAGAAAATAAACGCAATATAGGACTTGCAAACTTGACATACAGGAAAAAACAATGGGAAAACTCATTCCCTCACTGTGTTGTCTTAGTAGGGCAATGGACTATAAGGGATGCTCTTTTCCAGTCAAGGATTGCTATAGGTTACATAGGGGAGTGCTTATGAAAAATCGTAGCAAGTTAAGGCAAGCTGGACATAAGAGGTGCAAATGAGGTGAAAGTGGACAAGCAGAAAACTCTGTACTTTAACTCAACACAAACTTACACCTAATGTAATTTGCTATTGGAAAGGGGAAAGGTGGGCAAGAGGTAATGCCTCGTGATTAAAGAAAGCATCAAAAAACTTCATGGGTAGAAATCAGGACCCAAGGTAGAGGCTGTGGGGTGGAAAGCTCCGTGAAGATGTTACAATAGTCCTGGTGAGAGATGATCCTCCATGGGCCAACAGAAGTTCCTGTGAGGGCTGTATAGGTACTCGCAGCCTCTGAAACCTAAAGGAAAATACCAAAAACATTTCTCTTTTCAGTATCGGGGTCTGTGGCATTACCCACACCTACCCTGCAACTATGTTGAGAAAATTAACACCTCCTATCAATGTGATAGCTAAATGCGACAAATAATGCTTTTAGGCATTATCTGGGTTGACCGAGAGGGACCTCAATAGCCTACCTCCTGAAATTAAGAGGTCAGAGGGAAGCCTTGTTAGCCAGGGCCTCTCCCCGACGCGCGAGCTCCGGAGCGCGGGACGTCTTTCCTCCCGCGGAGGGAGCCCGGATTCTGCCTGGACGCGGGCGACCAGGGTGTCACCGCCGCGGCCAGCCAGCCGGTGAGCAACCGCTTGGCGCAGAGGACGCCAGTTCGCCGACTGCGGGCATCGCTCTCCGCCTGCCTGCACGGCGGCCAGCTTGTGCTGAGAGCAAATGGAGTCTCCCGAAGGAGGCTGACACCGGTGGCGCGGGGGCGGCGGCAGCGAAAGGCGATCGGCGCTGCCGGAGCCGCAAGGCGGGGGATTAGGGAGCACGCGCGCGCCCCCGCAGGAACGTGTGTCGGCGAGAGGTGGGGCCTGGCGGGCGAGCGCGCGCGGCCCGGGGCGGGGACTCGGCGAGCGGGCGGGAGTGGGGGGCGGGAGTGGGGGGCGGGACTCGGACGCCGCGCGTTCTCCGGACGCTGCGTGGGTTCGGCAAATGGTCCGGTCTTTGCGGGCTGCGGGCGGCTGGGTTGGCCAGAAGGGGGCGGTACGAGCTCGCCCTGTCTTGGCGCTTTTACCAGTGGCCAGGCTCTGCGGGCGAAGCTTCCATCTCTCGCATCGGGAATAAAACTCGCACCCTTTGCGTACGAGTAACAAATCGACGCATCCTCCGGCTCTGGCACGAGCTGTGAATGGGGGAGGGCGGGCGCACGTGGAGAGTGTTTACAAACAGCCTCCGCCACCGCCCTCCGGAAGGAGTGACAGTGTCCGCGCCTCCCAAAGCCCCCTCTGGGGAGCCGCGTGCCCACCTACCCCGCAGGCTGCCCGCCAGAAATGGACAAGAAGCAGCCGGAATCCTGAGGCACGGTGAGGAGAGCGGGCGCGGCTGCTGGATGAGGTCGGGTGGGTTGGGGTGGGGACAGGATTTGGGAGAGGAGCTGGGGTTTTTACTCTGCAACATCCAACCAAACAAGCCAGGATGGATGGAGAGCAGCGCTCGAGCTGATTGTCGTGTGTCCTTTCCCTGGTGGGTGCTCTTAGACCTGGCAGCAGCCGGTACACGTGTTAACCTGTGGGACGCAGCGGCGTGAATTTGCTGCAGCCCCTTTACACCCACTGTGTCTCAGTTGTAACCAGGGAATTGCATTTTGCTAAAGACTGGATTTATTGTTTCCACGGAGATACTTGCAGCGTCGCCAGAACCTTCCCTGGATAAGGGAGCGGTTGCACCTTCATCCTGCAGCACCTGTTTACGGAGGAAACGCAGTTTGCCTGCCTGTGCCCGACCCCTGGTAAAATAGTGTGAAAAGTGCAAGAGTCTTCTGTTAAGATTTTTTTCCCCCCAACATCCGTGCGTAAGTATCGAACCTCTGCGTTAACACAAAGTAACGTAGTGTCTCGTCATGTATTTGACCAGGCAACATTGTTGCTAGAATTTCGGAACTCACAGACGGAAATTCAACTGAGCATTCCTACTGCAGGAAAGAGATGTTGGTTCCCAGTCTTTTGACTCCCACGCCGAAACTGCACAATTGCCTTCTTCAGAATAGCAGCTTTACACTCTCTGGCGCGACAGAAATTCACTCATCTTCTACATCGAAAGTGAGGCTATAAGTGGCTTTTGACAAATATCTGCTTTTCCTAAAGATAGACCTCCCTTCGACCCCCCTCCCCCAATCCGACTCCCACTTAGCTTCCAACCAACCAGTCCTATTCTGGCAATTCTCCTTGGCTATTTTGGGTAAAGTCTAACTTTATAGTAGTTTTATGTCATATTTTTTAAAGTTTTCTTTTCCCTGCTATTTGTAAGGAGCGTGAAAGACTTTTATCTGATCATTCCTCATAAGGGAAGAGCGCTGACTTTCAGACTGCCAATCATGTGGAAATGAGGCAGCAAGCAAGCAGATGTCACCTTCCTGGCATTCCCCTCACCCTCCAGCCTATGGGGTCACTCTGTCCTATGATATTTAAATAAAAATAAATTTGCCATTTATCCACATCCCCTACTATCTCTAGAGTTTAATTTTGTTCCAGATATTTTGCATATCTCTGTTTCTCCTGCATTCTGCAGCTTGCTGGTGTTTTATGACTTATAGCTGTTCCCTTTTCTTTGCCTTCTGTTAAGTTCCGATTTGGATACAGCCTACATCTTTTGGTCCTCAGGTCACCCCCAACATCACTTCACTTAAAGCAATTATCTTTAGCAGATTTTTCCTAAGACCTTATCTAAGGCAGTTGTGTCTTTAAAGGAGCTACTTTCATCTGATAAACTTTCTGGGTTTTGCTAGGGGAATAGGTTGCTAATTGTGGCCAACTTAATGTTAGAGTGAGGTGCAGTTAAAATGGAATGTTAAGAATGGATTTTCAGGGTGGTGAAAATACTTTGGATGATGCTGTAGTGATGGATACATGTCATAATATATAATACGTTTGTCCAAATGCACAGAATTTAACAGGCTTATGTTTCTCATAAGTTCTAAATTTTCTGCTGAGATATATCAATGCACATAGATTGTACATAGTCTTTTATCAGTGGTATTCTTCATACAAAATAGTTTTGTAATGGAATAAGATATCTCTAGTTAGAATAAATTCTTAGTTTTAAGGGATTGCATTCTTGTTTTCCATTTTCTTTATCATTGATCCCATTTATTTGGAAGTTTTTGTTCCATGATACTGAATTACTGATTAATTACTACTAATAAGTAAAAACACAATTTTTTTATGATATTAATATTCCATGTGTATTAAACCTATTTAATATCATCAAATAGTACATATGTGTAGCTAAAAAGTTTACTGCCAATTGAAAATCAGTGGCTTGCTTTAAAAAAGAAAGTTACTGTTGTCTGCTTTCAGTGACATATAATATTGAGGGGAATTTTCCAGTTAAAATATAATTTATTTTTCTTTTGGAGAGTGTGTTTGTGTTTTCAAATGAGCCGGATATGAACCATTTCTCACCAGTAAAATGAAGGCTTGTTATTTAAATTCTTTCAACTCTGAAGTTATCTTACTTTAGATTATAGAATAAAAGCTCAAAATGTTCATTTTTAATATAAAATATTATTTTGAATGATTAAAAGTAGGAACACTTTTCTATTTGAAAGTTTCTGGATGCAGGTCAGATTACTCATTGGAAAATCCCAGACTTTTTTTTTTTTTGGCGGGGGGTGGGGTGGGAGAATAACCGGGATTGAACTCAGGGGCAGTTAACTACTGAGCTACATATCCAGTCCTATTTTTTGTATTTTATTTAGAGACAGGGTCTCAATGAGTTGTTTAGCACCTCTCTTTTTGCTAAGGCTGGCTTTGAACTTGTGATCCTCCTGTCTTAGCCACCCAAGCCACTGGATTACAGGCATGTGCCATCCTGCCTGGCCTGGACTTGGGTTTTGTGTGTGTGTGTGTTTAATGTTGATAACAAAATGCTATTGAAAGATAGTGAATTCTTTAGTTCTTTTTAAATTTCAATTTATTTTTAACTAACATGAAAACAAAAATTGAACATGTTAATGGGGTACCATGTGACATTTCCATACGTGTATATATTGTATAATGTTTTATTCAAATCAACTCTCTCTCCTCAAACATTTGTCCTTTCTTTCTTCTCCCCTTCTCTAGTGCTGAGGATCCAAGTGCTATACCACTGAGCCATACACCCAGCCCCTATTATTTCTTTATGGTGAAAACATTCAAAATCCTCTCCCTTAGCTTTTTTAAAATACATAGTACACAATTATTTATAGTTACCTTATTGTGCAATAGCACATCAGAATTTCTTACTTCCATATAACTAACTTAATACTCACTGATTAACCTTTCCCCATCTCTTCCTCCCACCTATTTTCTCCAGCTTCTGGTAGCCACCATCCTGCACTCAATTTCTAGGAGATCAACTTTGTCCCACCTATGTGTGAGATCTTATGGGACTTGCTCTTTATGCCTGGCATATTTGACTTAACGTAACGATCTTCAGTTGCATCCAAGTTGTTGCATCTGACAGGATTTCATTATTTTTTATAGTTGAAAATAATCTCATTATGCATACGTACCACATTTTCTTTTTTCATTAATCAATTGACAGACATTTCTTGGCTATTGTGAATAGTGCTACAGTGAACATGAGAGTGAAGATATCTCTTTATTTTTTTTGGTATGAATCCAGAGGTGAGGTTGCTAGATCATATGGTAGTTCTATTGTTGTTGTTGTTTTTTGAGAAACCTTCATACAGTTTTTCACAATAGCTGTGCTAACATATTTCCACCAAGAGAGTTGAAGTTTGCCCTTTTATTCACATCCTCAACAGCATTTATTATCTTTAGTATTTTTGATAATAGCCATTCTTACTGGAGTAAGGCAATATCTTATTATGGTTTTGATTGACATTTCCCTGATGATTATTAAGCATTTTTTCATATATCTGTTGGCCATTTGTATGTGGGGTTTGTTTGTTTGTTTGTTTGTTTGGAGGTGCCAGGAATTGAACCTAGGGGTGCTTAACCACACAGAGCCATATTCCCAGCCCCCCCCCTTTTTTTTTGAGATAGGGTCTTGCTAAGATGCTTAGGACCTCACTAAACTGCTGAGGCTAGCTTTGAACTTGAGATCTTCCTGCCTTAGCTCCCAAGTCACTGGGATTACAGGCATTCCCTACTGCTTCTGCTGTATGTCTTATTTTGAGAAATGTCTGGTTAGGTCTGTTACCTTTGTTACATTGGGTTGTTTTTGCCATTGAATTTCCTTATATATTTTTAATATTAACATCTTCACAGATGCATAGTTTGCAAATATTTTCTCTATTCTGAAGGTTGTCTCTTCACTCTGTCCATTGTTTCCTTTGCTATGCAAAAGAAGCTTTTTAAATTTGATGTAATCCTATTTGTCCATTTTTGCTTTTGTTTCCTGTGCTTTTGAGGTCTTGTCCAAAATACCCTTGGCCATTGCAATATCCTAAAGCATGTTTTCTTCCAACAGTTTCATAGTTGCAGATCTCACATTTAAATTTTTAATCCATTTTTGGTTGATTTTTATGACTGATGAGAGGTAGGGATCTAGTTTCATTCTTCTGTGTGTGGACACTCAATTTTCCTAACACCATTTATTGAAAAGACTGTTCTTTCTCCAGTGTGTATGCTTAGCTCCTTTGTCAAAAATCAGTTAACTGTAAATGTGTGGGTTTACATCTAGGTTGTTTAATATGTACCATTGATCTGTGTGTCTTTTTTTATGTCACTACTGTGCTATTTGGATATTATAGCTTTGTAGTATATTTTAAAAGAAGATAATGTAATGTCTACTGCTTTGTT